TACTATCCTTAGTAAAAAGATCATGATTGTTCAAATTTTTTATGTAAACTTTATATTTTGCGAGTGATCCACTTAAGCATTAAGCAAACATTTACACCAGAAAGTTAATAGCCACTTGCCATACAATGGGAAAAAAAAAAATTAAATTTGGTTCATCCAAACCCTTATCTTTCCAAATGCTAACTTTGAACAACTATTCAATTATTCTTCTTTATCATATCATTGAATAATATACAAGAATTTCAAATTATTACAACTCCAAAAGTAAGCAAACCAAATTTTACTAGGTTGCATTCAAGTTCCCATTCCAACCTCAAAGTCGCTCCGAATTTCTATAACTACTAATTGAGCTACTGATGCAAACTTCATCTTAAACTAAAGTACCAAACAGACATGGATTTCCTAGGTCTGACAGTCTTAAATCAGAAGTGAAATTTAAAAAAAAAAAAAAAAAATTGTCATTCATGGCTTAGCTGACATTACATCATCATATTTTTCTATATATATGTTTCGTAGGTTACGAGGGGCCATTTCTTGGTGCAATATCATCAGGCGCGAAATGAAGGCCTTGAGGACATATGTTCAAAGCTAAGGGAGATAACTTTGTACAAAAATAAATAAATAAACAAGGTTCATCACCAATCTCTCTATCAAAACTCCAACTCAGGTAGGTGCGATATGTCAAGTGGTCAACTCAAGGCTCAACTCTAGGTGTAGAACCCAGCGAAAGCCCGAGCCCAACCCAATCCCCAACTCAAGTTACCCAACAAAATCTAAACCAAACTTATCTCTCCAAAATTGGCTTAGACCATGGCTTTGAGCGCCAAAGCATCACAATATAAAGTATTTAGAAAGCGGTACCATTTCCAAAGCATCTATACAGTATATATATACTTACATTACATTATATATGATCAAAAAAATTATTCATATCTCATTTTGGTTTAGTTTTCATTAATATATGGAGTATACAATGTAATCAATCATAAAGTATCAACCTATGTTACAAATAAACAGTTCTACTTTTGGTTAAAATAAAAAACTAACAAGAAATTCTGCAAATCTGGAGAATAGGTCAGTGGTAAGGAGGAATGTTAATCTACCCAAGGTTAGGGATCTCTATTATGAGTTATTGACATTTTTGAAAGCTAGTAGTCAGATGTCTCCTGCATGTGTCAGGGTATGAAGCTGAACAAAAGTGAAGAAACTGCAAGGAAGCTCCATCTGTTACACCCACAAAGCTGGAGGGGAAAAAAGGAGACTCCTTTTAAAATGTGCAAACCCAAAAATTCGAATCACAAAATATAGGCAAATCAACTCTCAACTTGCAGATCCGCAAGCTGAGAGCATGTACATCCACTTGGATGGACAGATCGTGTGACTCTGGGTGAGATTTGGGTTTGCCAATTTAGAATCAGGTTGATTGGTTTAGACTCGGCTGATCGGGTCAAGCTCGCTTAGTTGCACTGACTTATAATAATAATAATAATAATAATAATAAAGGTCGGATCGAGTTGAAATCAATTTGCCCAACAGCTATACCCAAGTCCAAAGCTTTGAGGTTTTCAACCCAAAGACAACCGAGTAACAAAAGTGAGTATATCAACTAGGAAAAAGACCTGGGTCAACTAAGGAAAAAAAAAAAAAAAAAGACCTGGGTCAAACCATTTATTTTTGTTAGGTTACCTGACTTAATTCTTATCCAGTTTAAGTGCTCAGAAGCATTTGTGGGAATGTGGGATGCTTGCAGAATTAAGGATGGATGCAAGCGGATATCTTGGAAAAATAAATATATCATGGAATCCTGGGAAGTATGGACACACAACGGATACGACTTTACACATGTCAAACTGGCCAAAAGACGTGTCAGCATATTTTTTCTTTCTGGACACGCAAAGAGCACATCATGGACACAACAAGGACACATACATGACACAATTCAGACGTTTCATGGCAAGCCATGAACATTTATATGATTAAACAGGTGTTTTTAAAAGGAAAAAAAACAACTAAAGGTCAAAGCATAAAGCGTATGGAATTCTTTGGAAATTTTCAACAATATGGAGGTCAAAACTTAAAAAATAAAAAGATTCTTATGTGAACTTATTGAACAAGAGTACATAATCAAGAATTTGTTCTTTTAATTTGGAAAAGTTCAGTTCAGTTCAGTAAATCCAATCAGGCAAAAGGTTAAGAGTATGAATTAGAAATTGTCATTTGGTGTTGTTCTGGTTGTGTCATATGGAAGAAACAACTACAACAGACCGTTCAATGTTGTACCCTTGAGGGGCTAATATCAGACAAGATCATCCATCAATTGTCAAGACAGAGAGTTTCATTTTAAGATACAATTGCATTGATATATCACATAGAACCAGAATGTAGAGAACAAGAAGTGCCCTTACGATTTAAAAACAACTCCAACCACCCACCTAGCTCAATAATATATGATGTGCTGCCACCATGGGCGTAATTGTAATTCTTTGGGGAATCTTTTGGATTTTATGGATAGCTTAAAGCTATAGTTGAAGACTTTGGCGTCTTGGATTTTCCTTTGGGAGCACTCCCCTCTTGAGGGCCTTTTATGAAATCTTACTCATCAAAAGAAAATGTTTTGCTTCCACAATCTATATAACCACTATCATGAAGGACACCTTTTCTCATGTTACTCATGTATGATGCCACAATTGCAATAGGACTTTTTCTTAATGACGCATAGGCATGGATAAAGAACATATGCACAATAAGACACTATATGGCAATTGGCAAGTACACAGCAACAAAGATATATAATTCAATATATAGAATTATATTCTACACAAGAAGTACTACGTTATGATAAATAAATCTCAAAATTTTATGTTTGTAATATAAAATTTATAACTTGTAAATCAAAAATGATCAATGATCACCCATGCAATGAAAAACATAATAAGGACTCTACACATGTGTGCATGTCTAGATGTGTACAGATATGGGTATGAATATGTAAACAGATAATTATGATGACTCCTCTCCTCATATATATATATATATATATATATATATATATATATATATATATATATATATATTATTTCTTAAATATGATCAAATATTAGGATGCATGTTGACAAGTTTATAATCAATCGCCTTCTTTCATTTTGTTAACTATGGACACACCTAAGATATGCTGGATATATGTCCAGAATTGTCCTAGAACTGTTAGTTCCTAAACAACAAGACTCCTTAGAAGCCTCCATGCTTCTTACTTCTTTTAAGATGCCTCTATCTACAATCGTCCAGCTAAACGACTCAAACTTAAAAGGGCATATACATGCCAAATACTTCTTGTTTGTAGGAGTTCCCCTTATATATTTGTGTGCGTGTGTGTGTGTGTATATTCTCATAACAGATTGGTTAGTTTACCGCTAGCAAAAGTCGTGTCTTTCTTTGAAAAGCAATAATACTGATTATCTGTTGGCAATACCTAATTTGATTTCCAAAAATCCTACACTAGAAGGGGATCACATTTGATAGATTGGAAATTATGACCACCTATAGTTAACCTGCAGGCCAATTCAGTCAGGTGGCCTGGGAATCCAGAGATTGAAGCCGTTTAATCAAGCCCTTTTGGGGAAGTGGTTGTGGAGATTTGGTGTGGGGAGGCTGGTGCTCCCTCGGGGTGAGGATTCCTGAAGGGGTTGGTGTTTGGAAGTTCGTCCGGAAGGGGTGGGACGAACTATCCAAACACATCAGATTTGGAGACAGGGATGGCAGGGTTTCTGTTTTTGGGAGGACATCTGGTGCAGTGATCGTTTGCTGGCATGCTCCTTTCCTTGTCTTTTCCTGATTGCTTCAGATAGGCACGCCTTGGTGGCCGATTGTTATCGGCTCGATAGCGGGAGACCGACATGAAATGTGTGCTTTGTGAGGCATTTTCAGGACTGTGAGGTGGATGATGTTTTTAGGCTCTTAGAGATGTATCGCCAGGAGGTGGGTAGCGGTGCTACTAACTCTTAAGGTGGCCTTCTTTGCTTGAACTGTTGTCCTAGGGAGGATTCTGACACTTGACAACCTGAGGAGGAGACAAATTGTTGTGAACTGGTGTTGCGTGTGTAAGAGGAATGAAGAGTTTGTTGATCATCTTCTGTTTCGTTGCCCTTTGGCTAGGGACAGCTGGGGGTTGATCTTGACTTTGTTTGGACTTCAATGTGAGTTATGCGTTATTCTTCAGTCCCTGCTCGGTGTGGTTGAGGCTTGGAGAGTACAGCTGGTCCCCAAGCCCGTGACTTTTGGAGGGTGGCTCCCTTGACCGTCTGATGATGTTTGTCGAAGGAAAGGAATAGGAGATCCTTTGGATGGGGAGGAGACTCCTATTGGGTAACTAAAAATCTTTATCATTACTTCATTAGTTGTCTTTTTTGTTAGGTTCATAGGAGGAATTGTACTCAATGAGGGAGACAGTTAATTGTTTGGACAGATTGAGGGGTTAAGGGCCCTATTTGGTCCTTGCTTGTTTTTGTGGGCCGCATTCCCCGTTTGAACGCTCTTTAATACAATCTTGCTTATCCCAAAAAAAAAATGCCAGCAGAAAGTGCACAGCTTTGTAATTGGCATATTTTTTGAAGAAAATATGGATGCAAAGAAGGGAAAACATAGTAAAGAGTGGGAAAAAAGAAAACCTTTTCTTTTTCTTTTTCTTTTTTTTTCTTTTCTTTTTTTTTATTGTTCAAATAGAACATGAAAGCAAATATAAATCACACTACCGGATCAAAAAAGAGACACTCATTTTTATGAAGTTACAATTGACTAATATACGTTGCCTATAAGAAGCCCTCCAATTATCGTGGGCAGGTGAAAAGGCTGACTACTTACATCACAGGGGAGGGGTGTTATACTGACAAACTTCAATCAAATTTCCACAGTTTAAAATGCAAGCATCTGCATCAGCCTTCAAAGCTGACTACTAACATTGCAGGGGAGGGTTATTATAAAGCTACAAATTTCAAGGAACTTACCTGAAGCTCCAAGAATGCAACCATCGGCATTAGCCTTCACTACATTTGAGGTATCAATATCTCCACTCCCAGTACTGGAACAGGGGAAAATAAGAATCATAATAATAAAAAGGCAGTGTTAATATAAAGTATCATTTTAGAAAAAAAATTTAATAAATGATATTTCTATGCACAATTTTCCATGAAAACTACCAATCAATGACATCTAGGACTTTTGGCTTCCCATCTGAGGTAACTTGTAATCCAGTAGCAGCTGGGTCCACACCAGAATCTGAAAAATAGACAATAGTTTAATTAACTATATAACAGTTGGCGGAGATATATATATATATATATAAACCAGTCAAAACCACAACTAGTTCGATCAGAGGTAACCAATTTAATTTTCAATTTCTTATTTTTTAGCATGGAACGAGATATTGAAATTTGACCTTGGTTATTTCACCTGCCAACAATACAGCTATACTATTTTCCCTGATATAATGGTGACAATAGAATGAATGCAGGTAAAAAAACATAAAATTCATCATCTTCACTGTTATTTTTACTCCTAATTACATCCACTCACTTGAATACCATTCTTTTTACTGGCCATTTTCAGTTATGAATAAAATGATAAGCAAAGAGCATTGGCTGTTTGTGTGTATAAAAATAAAAATATTGCGAGAATCTATCAAATCATATCTACATCTTTACAAATTAAAATTTCAAAACTAATCACTTCCAAATTCTGATTATTTCATTCGACCGCATATGCTATTCTTCTACATGCATTACCGTCATCAGGCAAGTCATAATGAGATGCATAAGAACAATAACAATAATATTAGCTGAATTTGAAGCCAAAAAAGAAAAAAAAAAAAAAAAAAAAAAAAAAAAACCTCTATGCATGAACTGAATCGCGTCATCAAATTTAAGTATAGTGTATACAAATCAAACATGCTACAATCCAGTATATCACAGACACTAATTCTTTAAGAACATTAGAATTCTCTGAGTCTAAGTTATTGCTTGGTTTCGATTTCGCCCAATTAGTGTAAGATTAAGCAACAAGAGATTGGAGATTAATATTGAATTTCTTTTCTTTTAGACAATCAAAACATTGAGGATCAAGGACCATACCGAATATAGCAATAAGGACGCCCCGGCCATCGAACTCGGGATGAGCTTCAATGAACCGATCGGCACCAGTCTCTTTCTTAGGCATGAGAGAAGCTAAGAACGTGGACTCGTTTAGCTTGAAATTACGCAGCACTCCATGATCTTCAGGCATCGCCCCAACCCTACACTTTCTCTCTCCACAGTTTCTCTCTCTATATCTGTATCTGTATCTATTACTGCTACTACTTCTCAGTAGCTTTTTGGGTTCAATGTGTATGGGAGGAAAGAGAAACGGCGGAGAAAACGATTGTAGCCTAGTCACACACGCGTTCCACACTCCCTTATATAATGAAATTTGCATTTCTTTTTATCTTTTTTTTCCACGTTTCTAGTAAAAGTGATGAGGGGGTGTTTTTGTAATTTGGTGGCAGTTGGCGGTGGATTCCGGCAGGTATTTAGGGATGGTGAGGCCGAGACGTGCCGGAATAAGTTTCTGAAAGCGGATTAGAAGGGTATATATTGGTCGCGTGTTTCTCGGTTCCTGTTAAATTACCCAACATATCCTTGCATGGAATATGATGCCGGTCTCTTTTGGAGTTTTGGACCCAGGGCAGTTGTGCCCACCAGGGGCAAATGGGTCTGCACGGACTGCGCAGAGTTGATGAAAAATGAAGGGTGCAGATTATTTTAAGCACCTTCTCAGTTTTTGCTTATCCGCAACTCGCAATAAAATAAATATATAAATAAAAAATATTACTTCGACTAATATGGGGTTAAAATTATAAAACTCAGTTTTACAAAAATAGTCATTTGAACTCCCTCAAGCAAATAAACTATCATATCATATCACCACCCTTAACGGAAAAAAGCACGTGATAGTTACATGCATCCTATTTCACTTTAATATGACCAAATGACCAAACTGGAACACCCTCCCATATCATTAGCATCTCGTCCTCCACTGCAGTACAGTAAGGGTGTGTTTGGATGTGACGATTTGAAAAGAGAGGGAGAAAAAAGAAAAGAACGAATAAAGAGAAAAAAAGAAAAGAACGAATAAAGAGAAAAAAAGAAAAGAACGAATAGGGTTCAAGTACATCGGTTAAATAGAGAGATAAAGGAGGATAGGTCCTCCCTATCTCTCATTTGTTATCTCCTCAAAATTGAGAATATAGTGAGAGAGAAAGCAAGTGTGGTTTAGTGATATTTTAATAATACCAAACCTAGCCTCCAAAATATACACATTTATTTTTCCATTCAAGTCTCAATTAACCACTTATAATTATAAGAAGGTAAAAAAATAATTTGATTATTATCCTTTCTTTTCTTTTCTTTGTTCTATCTTTTTTTTTTTTTTTTTTTTTTTTGAAAATTATCTTTGTTCTATCTTATCCAAACAAGAATGACTATATTTTTTTCTTTTTCTTTTTTCTTTCTCCCCTATTTATCCAAACATGAATAGAAATTATTATTATTGTTTCTTTTCTTTTCTTTTCTTTTCTTTTCTCTCCTAACTAATATTATCATTTCTTTTCTTTTCTATCATATGTATCTAAACGCACCCTAAAGCATATAAGACAGAGAAAAACTTGATTTCTCTTCTTCACAGTCGCATCCTCCATTGCAACATAATCACATCCTCAAATCGATTAGGAAGTCAAGCATATATATGTTAATCGGGTTATGCAATTCTTTCTATTTTGTTTTGATTTTGTTAGTAGAAGCCCAAAATATAAATTTATATGTGAGATAATGTTCTTGTACTGGTCTTTGATTCTGGGTTTTAAAGGGTGTTTTTAATTTTGAAAATAAACAATGTTTTCAAATTGATTCTGGAAGTTCTAGGGTTTTTTCTTGATGGGTTATGTCTGATTCTTCTTTGAAATTTTTTACTTACTTGACCGATTTGTTTATATTATTCTTTACCTTAGTGGACTTGAAGTATCAGATTCAACTAGTAATCTCAGCTTGTTTCTTTTTCTTTAGATTGCAAAAAATGTTGAGATTGAATGGTTCGAATTAGTTTTTCAAGCTTTTCATCTTCAGAATCAAGATCATATCATAAAATCATTTTGATTCTTAAATCAAGATTATATTTATTTCAAATCATTCGGCTATTATGATAATCATAATTGTCAAGATCAATTATGGTAATCAAGATGAATATCATTATAATTTATGGTAATTTATCAATTATAGTATTATTTTTTACCATAATTGATCTTGACTACCATAATTTATCATCATATTTTTTAACATAATTTTTCTCTATTACAATTACAATAATTATGGTAATCATTTTTATTTCAAATCAATCGACAATTTTGATATCTTGATTACCATAAATAAATATGATCTTGAAATGGAAATTATGGTCTTAAATCATTCGCGAGATCATTTAATGTACCAAAGTCTAGAAGGGCATAATTGCCATTTTGAAAATACACTTTCTGCTTTTAAAAATAATGATATAATATGGAGGTTAATTTGGTCATTTAACCATCATTGCTCGGTCAACATAATAACTTTTTTAGTTTAGAGGGTTATTTGTTAATATAGGAGGTGTTGGCACGAAGCCTTTAACCAAGGACAATCTAGTGATTTTGATGATTACAAACCATTAATGGTGTTTATGGACTAATGTTTACATTAAGTGTTATAGATGATTCATATTCAAATAATGACCTCAATAAAGTAATAAAGATCACATCAATGGAAAAGAATGGATACAAAGAGGCATAAAGTTGTAAGGAACCAAATGCAAGTCTATCGAAGGATAGCTTGGATTACAACGAGTAAACAAGCAACTCAAAGAAAGAAAGAAAGTAAGAATACCTCAAAACCTAAACGATCATGGACAAAACTTGAAGAAAGAGGTAGATAGTTTGGTGAGTGTTTAGGATTCAATGTCAAAGTATTTTATGAATCCATTTGAAGCTCATATCTTATAGGATCATGCATATCATATCATCATTCATATGTTCTTATATCTATTACTAATAGACTATAAACTTTATCATATATATATTTGAGATATAAAGTCATTGCTAAAGAATGAGTTAATTCAAGCTTGCATAAGCTTTGAAAAGAACTCATTACTTGAGCTAGAAATGTTAGGACCATGCACATCAATCACATGATCATATTGATCACTAGAATGTAAAGGTTAAGGCTTATGAAGCCTTTGTTACCATGATTTGGTAATGGACATTAAGACCATTGAATGCGCCTCATGAAAAAATGTGTTTTTGGCTAAGTGTGAAAAATAAATTTTTGTAATAATAATTATTTCAAAATAATTTTTTCCGGTAATTACTCCTTATATTTCAATTAGCCAAATCTGATTTTTTGAGATTTTTTCATCAATTCTACACTGGCCTACACGAAGGATCAAGTTTTATCAAAACTGTCGGGAGCCCCAATTTGTCTAAAATTGAATTTTTACATTTTGATTTAATTAAATTTTAATTTTCTTGTATTTTTTACTGAATCCAAATAAGGGTTACTTCCTATTTACATTGTTAACTTAAATTAAATGGACATATAAAAATAATAAAGACATTTAGTGACTGCAGAAGTAACCGACCAAATGACCAAAACAGAGAAAACTCATTTTTTCATTTACTCATCTAATCGATCAGATCATCATGTAATCGATCAGTTGCAATCATCTAACCAATCAGATGAGTCATACTATCGATAGGATGCCAAAACCAGTGAACTCGCATCTTTTTGTGGTTTATCATGCAATCGATCACTTCATCAATGTAACCGATCAGTTGAGTCTAAGTGATCGATCAGATGCTTTATGTATTCGATTAGATGACATTTAGATTAAAGCTACCGATCAGATCATTCATCTAATCAATCAGATGACTCCAAGTGACTGCATAGATGGTACATGTATCCGATCAGATGGACTAAAATTTCAGATCTGAGAAAATGATTTCACCCTTAATGGTTATATTCTTCAAAGGGACACAATGTTTTGGACATTGTGGGTATGGATTGGAGAGAAATAGATAAACTTTCTTGAGTATCAAAGAGCTTTTGTTCTTCATCCTCTCATACATATCATTCATAGAGTATTGAGCTTCATTTGTATTCATTTATACTCTAGTCGTAAGCTTTGATTTGCATATCAATCTTTGAGAGATATATTCTTGTGTAACAAATTTTTATCAACGATTAATTATAGGGGTTGGTGTGACCCAGCAGAAGTTTAAAAGATGATTGTTCTCTTAGCAAGAAGAATTAGAAGTGGCGTACTTCCTGTACCGGTATACTTTCCACCCGTAAGGAGGTGTCATAGTAGGATTGGGAGAGTCTCAAGAGGGATCTTGAGCCGAGGACTAGCAGTTACCGAATCTCGCTAAATCGTTGTGTCAAGTGTTTGCATTTATCTCTTTTACAACTGTGCTATTAATTGTTTGAGTTTATATCCTGATTATTGCATAATTGTTATGAGGTGTTTATTATAATTTGCAAAGCAATTAAAACCAAAAATTGGCTATTGTTTGCTATGGAATCTATTCAACCACCCTCTAGAGTCAATACTTGGGCAACAGGAGGTTATATGATTTTTTAGAAAAGAATAGGAAGGTTGTGATTTTAACCCTAAAAAATAAAAATAATAGAGTAAAAGCGGTAAAAGATGAAATGAAAGCAAATATTATATATATATATATATATATATATATATATATATATATATATATATATATATAGGTAAAATGAGGGGAAAAAATCGAATGTGCAAACTCTATTTTTTACTGCGAATGATAGAATTCTTATTAAATCAATCTTGGTCCCATCCTCTAGGAAACTTGGTTCCACTTGCTCCATTCCCATCTGATGTTCTGTATGCAACTCTATGTTCCCTGTCAAAACTGACTTTAGAATTTCATTCCTAATAACCTAACTTTCTCTCAACCTATGCTTCATCTAAATAAGATCCTAGAAGAGGGTTCGACTGAGAGAACCACGGGTAGGTGGATAGGGGTTGAACCAAAGTTCCTCTTGCAATGAAAGTTTACACCACATCGACCTAGAGCTTACACTTATCTTTATGTTTTAGTTCATTTGATTGATTCGTAAACCAATCAAGGGCTTCCTCTCTCCTCTTTCAGATCATTAGGAGGGTGGGAAAACATGATTCTCTTTAGTCAAAGAGTTCTTCTCGTTGATTTGACCTTTTTTAAGAGCTATCTCATGCCTCTCAATTCCCACTTTAATCATTGGATGTGCCTTACTTTATCTCAGTTTGGTTCACCACATGCCTATGATGCTTCTCTTTCAACCTTGGCTTGGTCTCATTAGTAGTTGGAAGGTAGGGGAGGCATCTTTGATTACTGAGCTAATTTGGTTGATGATTTGTTCATCCACTTGGTACTTTCATATATTCACTTAGTACAAAGTTATCAAAGCCACTAAATGAGACTCCCCATCCACCCACAATGGAGAGAGATCACCATGGATTCCTTAGTTAGAGCGC